CGAAAAAATATAAACAGTGCAGAATTGAGTCGGAATTTGAAGATAAACTTGACATAATACTTAAGAGGGTTCTCGAGATGGGAAAGCATGCATTCAACCCTAATGATATAGGGTTTTAAGGCATACCAGATGACTTCCCATCTGAGCAGGTGACAATTGACAAAGAAGTGCATAGTATTAATCAGAAGGAGATGGGGGAGTCTAGTTCACTATTGAAGAGTCCCAAGCTTGGTAAGAGGAAGAAAGAAAAGGACAACATTCGGTCGACTCATTGATGCTTTTGTAGCTCCACCACGTGCTGCACTCCCTGACAACATCATCTTAGAATGTGTTGGAGCTTTGGATACTCTTCCTGAAGTAGTTGCCAATATGTGATTTCATGCAAAGTGTGTAAAAAAGCTTGAGGATCTTACCCGTAGGCATATATTCATGGCGATGCGACCCGAATTGCGCGTCGAATATTTGCTTGTTTTGGTAGATTAATGAGTCTTTTTTATATGTTGACTTTTTTATTTTTTTTTGTTATGTACTTTTAAATGAGTCATTTTAATATGTTGATGTTTGTAGTCATTTTTTTATGTACTTCTAAAAACTTCTATTTATCTTTTAGAATATACGTTTTTAATTTGATGTGTAATTTATAGTCCTTGATGTTTTCATTACTTATTTTTGCTGATATTATGCCTTAACAATTTCTTTAACACTTACATTTTTTTCCATTAGGATGGATCCGCAACAAGAACTCCATAAAAGAATGTTATGGGCTGCAGCTATTGCAATATTGTTGTTGGAGTAGTACCGATCTAGCAGTGTTCGCGTACCCCGCATGACATACAGATTTGTTGGGGATAAATGGGTAGGTGAAATACTTTCTAAACATCCAATAAGGTTCAGCAACATATTTTTGTATGACTGCTCCCATTTTTATGGGTCTCCTTCATGAGTTATCTCTGAAGCATGGCCTCCAAGGTTCTTCTAGAACGACGAATAAAGAGATGTTGGCTATAACATTATACATTCTGCAGAATGAATCAATTAGAGGAGCTATTGAGAGATTTCAGCATTCATCAGAAACAATTACCCATTATTTCTCCAAAAGCGTACAAACACTTGTTAGCTTAGCAGCTCAAATCATTAAGTTAGAGGATCTATCATTTGTTACTACTCCAGAACAAATTGCCAACGATCTATGTTACAAGCCTTATTTCAAAGTATCTTTTATTTTCTTTAAGTTACTTTCAAAATATAATTAGTTTATGACAGTGTAAAACAGAACTGTATAGTTGTAATTGACGGTACTCATGTTGATGCTCAACTACCCAACCACGACAAGGGAGCGTACATTGGTCGAAGTGGTTCAACAAATCAAAATGTCATGTCAGTATGTGACTTTAACATATGTTTTACTTTTATAATGGCGGACTGGGAAGTGAGTGCACATGACAGTCAAATTTTCTTCTATGTAACTAAGAATAGATAACATTGTTTCCCTCACCCGCCTTCAGGTTTGTTTTGCTTTGTAAACGTACTAGTTATATGTATTATTTGTCATTAATAGTGTCTTTCATAACAGAGAAATATTATTTGGTTGATGTAATATCCTATGCAATGTTGAATATCCTATGCAGATGGACTACCTGAAGCCCTATTCGGACACCAGATACCATATTCCTGGTTTTAAGATAGCAAGTGACATCATTCGTGGTAGAAAAGAAATGTTTAATAAACGTCACTTCTCTCTACGTAGGGTAATTGAACAAAACATTTGGGGTTTGGAAGAAGAAATAGATCATCCTAGGTGATATGTCGTCATCTCCATTTCCAAAGCAGATGCATATTGTGGTGGCCATAATGACACTTCATAACTTCACCTGACGACATCCATCTCAATCAGATACAAACTTTAGTATGAATGATAATGATGAACTCAATGTCTCTGAAGACCCATCATAATTTGTGGTTGGGCCTTCATTACCTTAGGATGAGATAGGCTCTAATGAATTCGAAATTCATGACGTTGAGGGTGTGGCCGAGATCTGACAAATGGTTTCCTTTTTTTGGACAACTATAACAACATGAGTTCCAAGATTTCGGGGACCAACGGTGTTGTCTTGTGTTACTGTTGACTACCAGCTCTATCACTCACGTAACGTCAACCTCACAGCAGTGGGGGATAGTTCTATGGTTGTGGTAGGGTCATTTTAGCTCATTACGTTTTTTTTTGGTTGGGCCGACAGTCTAACATGTTACACTGCCAACAGTGATTGAGATACGATAATTTCCTATGGTGACAGTGTAGCTAAGGACAAACATAGTCAGAGCTTTAAATTGAATATTTTAATATTTCACGTTGTAGTTGTAATTGTATTTATCTTTATTTTATTTCTTCTGATACTCACGATAGTGTGAGCACTCTATATTATCCTTTTGAATTGATTTGTGATTATTTGCGTCTTTTATTTTATCTATTTCTATGCTCATTCAGTTCAGTTGCAAATAGCTTCACTAAATATAGGCAAAATGGTCGTTTATCCAGCAAAAACTGTCAATAAGTTGTTCTGCATAAACTCCCCCAAATAACAAGTCAGCTTATCTTGATAATCTGCAGATTAACGGATTATCAGGATAATCTACTTATCAGCAGATTATACATAATCTGTAGCTGCCCCAAATAGACCCCAAATCAATGCACCAAGATTGTCTTAACAAAGTCTCAAAAACCAACATTATCACCAAAATTATAGAACGAGCCATCACCACATCACCTAACAAAGAAAATATGCATATCACCAAAATTATACAACCTCCAAAATCCTGCATTGCCTTTCTGACCAGCTAAATCATCATCACAGTTTTCAGCAGCAATGCATTACAAGTAATGTATTTACAAAATTCATATGAAATGCCATCACCCCATCACAAATAAAGAAATTCCAACACCAATGCAAAAAAAAAATTTGTAGAGATAGTAAAATCAGCAGCAGTGAACAACCACCCTAAAATTATTGATTGAATAGAGCTTGGAAAAGCTAAAACCATTGCAAAATCAAAATGTCAGGATAGATATGGTATAAAATACCGTGGGCCAAAGGAGACCTAAGGAACCAAGTAGAGCCAAAGAACGGAGGGGATAGGGTGAGCAAACTAACCACTAAGACAAGCAACCCCTTATTAACGAAGCGACATATCAGAATAGAGGAGGAAAGTGTAAATCTTACCTTTAGGGCAGAATCATGAGAGATGGGATCACGAGAATTGAGAGAGAAGCTTGGTCGCGAGAAATGGAAGAGGGGGGGTAGGGCACTAAAAGTCAAATGAAATAAATACGAAATGCACTGGCCACATTTTCTCAAAAAATTACCAAACCTCCTCCACGACGCTTTTATCAAATGATGAAAAGATTCTAGGGCTGTGTTTTTGGGCCACACTATGCAAAAAACACGGTGTCATTAAGCTTATGTGTGATGTTAGTGATTATGTTGTTAGAACTATCATAGGGCAGAGGGAAGATAAATTTCAGATATTGAACAACAAAAATAAATTTTATTGGTGTGAGAGTTATCAACTTTATTTTCACTAAGTGACGACAAATATTGAAGTGATAGAAATCCAATTACATTAATGGATTATAGAGTCCGTCTGATGGAAAGCTGAAGTTAGCATCATCAGTGGTGGTGGAAAATATGCAATTGTAGCTTGGCTAGAGTGGCGGCGATGGTTGAGAGAAGTGGATTAGCAATGATAGTGGTGTTGACGGTGTCAGCGGCGCGACAAAGGTATTGCGGCGGCGGTGACTGGGCGTTGATAATCTAATGATTACGGTGATGATCCAATTATAGTGTCAATGATAGTGATTGAGCAATGGTGGTTCAGTTGCAGCGGTTGAACAAAGGTGATTTAATGTTGAGGGCTCGTCAATGGTGGCGACAATATTAGTCAGACGAAAATAATTTGACTACAATGGTACCGACATTATCATTCAGGTGACTGGATGTGGCATTGAAGGCTACAGTGGTCGGGGGACAATGATCCGACGACAGTAGCGGTGGTCTACTGACAACAACGACCCAATGGCATTTCTCCGACAGTGGTGAAGCCCAACAATTCTTATGAGCATAGCTCTCCTTGTAGTTTTCTCCTCCATGTCTTGATCCCCTTTATAAAAAGTGGGACAGTTTTTTTAATAGATTCTGGGAGTGCATCATTCATAAATAATATTTTAATCTAAACCACTTAATCAGACAAGTATTTAAGGGTTTTACGAGTATTTAAGGGTTTTAGTGATGTCAACCTTAAGTGATGTTAGGGTTGATAAAATTTTCTCATTAAAATGTTTGATTTGACTATAAACATGTTAGATTTAGCGATCATTTGGTCATTTAAGGGATGACCTAAAACCTTGTTTCATATTTTAAGTGCATGTCATGTTAAGTGATTGTTCTGTTCTCACTTAGACTTACATTAGATTATTTTTTATGTCATTTGATTTATATCACAAAATATTTTGTTTGATTACAAATTTGAGTGCAGACAGATTTTTATTTGATTTTTTGAAACTTCTAACATTAGCCTTAACATGTATCGTGATTCATGTGTATATATATATATATA